ACCAAAGCGCGCTTTGGTCACATGGTTGATTACGTTACTGTTGATCATCTGTCCATCATCGTATAAAGCCCGCCCTGACAATTTGATTGGATCGCCTGACAGTGGGCGATAATACTCGCGCTACTATGGAGCAGAGCCAGACCGAACTTCCCCGAACTCAAACCTTGTGGGCGGGACTAAGTTTGGACTGGCACCCAGGCTAGAATTCTGACCATGAAGGAAGAGAATGTAGTAAGAAAGAGGATTAGGGCAACAGAAAAAAAAGTTAACTGATTTTTGAATTTCATTTTAATGTAATATGAGGAAAAAAAAATCTGAATTCTGAGAAAAAAAAAAAAGTCATAATTCTGACTTTTCTCCCATATGATTCTGAAACAAAATTTAAATATCAGTTAGCTTTCTTTATATTCAGTTTCCCTAATCCTCTTCTGATGTTTGAAATTTATAGTTTAAAAATAATTATTCACATAAACACAGACTGAAATTGTATTTAGAGCATAAACCTTTTTCTTTAGGACGTCTGAGATGTGCGAGGATGTCTATACGGAGCTCTGAACCTGTGTGTGTGGGGGGGGTAAGGGTCCGTTCCTGTGCCCCCCCTCCGTGTGATTGGTTCTAACTGTTGTGTTTCTTCGTCCCTCAGGAGACAGACTACATCATGTCGTACTTCGATAACGGCGAGGACTTTGGAGGAGACAGCGACGACAACATGGACGAGGCCATCTACTAGAACGCTGCTGCTCCGGGGTTCTGGTTCTGGTTCTGGTTCTGGTTCGACCGGCGCTGGGTTTAGTTTTTATCTGAGTGATCTTAATGTTTTGTAACAGGAATGTTTTTATTGTTTTCAGCTGTAAAAAAATAAAAATAAACATGTTCTGAGGGGTTCTGACTCAGAAGATGGATCCATTTTCTCTGTGCTTTCTGTGGTTCCCGGTTCCGTGACCAGGAACCTCCTAACCTACCTCAGCTTATTAACCCTTTATGATCCGAGGCAGAGACCAGGTGAAGCTGACTTTAGTTAAACTGACCCAATAACCAGAACAGCCATCACCAGAACTATTCTTTACAGAACCCGGACAGCCGACCATGAAGAACCACCTGGATCCGTTCCACAAAGTAGGATTAGTGGGGATCCACCGATCCATTAAAGCCTTTACTCTGAGTAATTTATGGAATCCAAACCCTGAAACCAGCCTGATGGGCTAACTCTCCCTGTTAGCTTAGATCTGCTGAGGAAATGTTAGAAAGGAACCATTTTCAGGTTGGAGAACAGATACTCTGAAGATTCTTTCATCAGGAGACGGCGATTAGAGCTCGACTAGAAGTTTGATCTCTTAAGGAGGAAGATCTGAAAATCAGCTCTAATAATGATGCCAGGGTTTAATATTTTAAGCACCAGATATGATTCATCTGGATCTTTTTCTGGTTACTGTTCCAGATTTTAATATGTTTTTAAGGGAATCACATCATTAACTGCAAATGTTGGATAAAATCAATAAATATTTTAGTTGGTTGTGAACAAGAATAGAACCACAGATAGAACCACAGATAGAACCACAGATAGAACTACAGATAGAACCACAGATAGAACTACAGATAGAACTACAGATAGAACCACAGATAGAACCACAGATAGAACTACAGATAGAACCACAGATAGAACTACAGATAGAACCACAGATAGAACTACAGATAGAACC